AATATAGATCTCTTCCAGTCAATATAAGAGTACATATTATTAGAAAATACCACAAATTTAGCTGAGGCTCAGACAAGATAGGAAACAAACAACAAGTAGTCCAAAGATTCTTATGCAGGATACTTTAAGATGGGTCTGCCATCTTAAAGATAAAATATGCAACCTTCTATCCATGTCCTTAATGTGGGCTCTCTGGAACAAGCACTGTCAGCTTTTAAGAGGGAGTGTTAGAGATTTGACGGTAAGAATGGACACTGTGCAGAAACCAACTTCCAGTAGAAACATGACCCAGCATCTCCAGGGAAATGCTGACCCTTTCGTCAATCATCAAGTAGGATGCCACGGTCACCTCTTCATAAAACTTATATATTTAAGAAGATATCACTGGAGGTCATGTAGCAAAGCCCCATTCACGTCTATACAAGACATTTTTTTTTATTTCAGTGGGAAGACAAGAAGAGTTGTGGTGATACCCTTGCGAGAGAAGACTTTGTCCTGACAGCACTTCACTTCAGGGGAAGATGAGGGGCAGATGTTACAAGGACTTCTATTTCCATATTTGTTCCTCAGCGGAGCTCCTGCAGCTGTCTACAACAGAGGCCCCAGGGGTCTCATCAGAGGAACCATTAGTGAGCAGGATGAGGTGGTGAAAAGAAGGTCAACATTAGCTTATGAAGGCAGAGGTTGGAGCAAGTGGGAAAGATCAGAGAGATACCTCTCTGGAGGTTTTAGGCAGACAGTGGAGGTTGATAGAAGGTATGGATCAATTCATTTCATATGAACTGAGAGCTAAAGGGAATCTCACAACTGCTTACCTTCAATGCTCTTCTTGAGAAGCCAAAGGCTCAAGCTCAAGGGCCCCCTCCTTCCAGCATTTCCCCTCAGCACCAGCCCTACCCTGACTCAAGGATTATAACAATGCCTTCAGTTGTGCATGGTGAACCTGAAGAAAAAGATGCCTTCCTTTAAGGTGAGATTTAACACTAGCCTTGCCTGGCTCTGGGGACAAGGATGTTTCACAAATCTCTGGGATCTGAAGAGTCTTGTTAGCAATAGCGGAATGATTTCATTTGCTTTACTGGAATAACAGGACTGGAATAGCCAACCTGGAGAGTCACTCAAGCCTGTAGGAGCTGACCTGGGCTGAATCAGAAAAGCAGGGATTCATCTCCTTGATTACTTGGGTTCTGGTAATTTGAAGACAAGCTCTATTCCCACCACCCACATGTCTAATATGAGATGTCCAAAACAATCACTATCAGCGTTTAGGGAGGCCCATTGAGACTTGAAGGGAAGGACATGTTATGAAGCCAATAAGGATTGCTTTCGGGAGAGTCAAGGACAACTTGTCACAACAAATAAAGGGCAAAGCTGATCTTGTCTTCATTCATCAGGTAGGATGCCCCCTCATACCATTTTCCTTTTTCTTTTTACAGAGGAGATCATTGGAGGTCATGAAGCACAGCCTCATACACGTCCATACATGGTGATTGTTGTGTTATTTCAAGATGGCGAGTGGAAAAGATGTGGTGGTTTCCTTGTGGAAGAAGATATTGTCCTGACAGCAGCTCACTGCTGGGGAAGGTGAGGGGTAGAACTTCCAGAGACTGTTCACATTCCTATCACACGGGGGCGACACTTCATCTAGGTGTAACTCACGCCCAAGAATTCTCATCATCAGAACCATTTGAGACTGAGATGAGTTGGAAAGTGAGTCAACATGTAACCCATGAGGTCAGAGAATGGGGCAAGTAGAAGAGGTCAAGGAAAGACAGCACTGGCTATTCCAGGCAGACAGTGGAGGTTGAGAGCAGGAATGGTCAAGCCACTTCATATGACCTGAGGGCAAAATAGAATTCCACAACCACTTACAATGCTGCTGGGAAACCAAAGGCTCAGCAAGTTCAAGATGAAGGGCCCCTCCCTCCAGCATTTCCCTCAGCAGCCGCCATACCCTCCCCACCTGTCACCTGCTTTAGGGCTCCAGTTCTGAGAACCTCTTCTTTTCTCTCTGTACAGCCCCATGGATGTATTCTTGGGGGTCCATGACATTTTGTTGGAAGAAAACACATGGCAGAATATTGATGTGAAAAAAGCCATCCCCCACCCTAAGTATAGCAATAAGACTGATAATAATGACATCATGATACTACAGGTGAGGCACAATCCCTGCTGCTCCTGCTCCCTTGGGTTCAAGAAATTTCTCCTTCCACCAGGACCCTTGCCTTCCTGGCTGCTTCACTAATCCCAGGTCCTGGGAGGAGAAGGGATCAATTGCAGCCCATCAGGCTCTGCTGGGCAGCAGGCTCTCAATGACCAAGACTTTGTTGTTTCTTTCATCAGCTGGACACAAAGGCCCAACTGACTGCAGCTGTGGGCCTAATCCGCCTGCCTGGAGAAAGTGACCATGTGAGGCCTGGGCAGGTGTGCAGTGTGGCTGGCTGGGGCAATATCTCTGACAGTGAAATAACAAGCAAGCTGCATGAGGTGGATCTTGTCATTCAGGAGCACTTCCAGTGTGAGCGCCACATGCTGAACTATGACAGGACCACTGAGCTGTGCGTGGGAGACCCTCAGAAAAAGATGTGTTCCTCTGAGGTGAGACTTAGCATTAGACTGGCCTTGAGGCTATTTGAGGAAGACCTAGGATGTATAGATCTAGCAATAAGGGGAATGTCTTCACTCACTTTTCTGAGATAACAAGAGTAGCAAACTACCTAGAGACTCAGGCCTCTGTGAGTTTCCCAAGGGTGAATCAGAAATGTGTTCCTCCAGAAAGATGAATTTATGACTCCTTATTCCATGCCAAAGGGATAGGTGGCCTAGGAGTAAGACACATCAATGTAATCCCAAAGGTGCTCCTCAGGAAGAAGATGAGGAATCTCCTCCTGTGCAATTCATCATCTCTAAAATCTCACTGGAGGATCACTTATGGGCAGTTCACATTTGACAGCAAAACAATAACATGGTACCGCAAACGTCCCTAAGGAACAAAGAGTTTCCCTTCAGGTTCTACCTTAAATATTTGTGCTTTGAACATTCTCAAAGTTGTTCCATAAACTTTATTGGGTAGAAAATCCAATGAGCAGATCAACTCTATAACATTTAGGATTACTATGAACTGAGATGCCCAGAATGGGTTTGTGGTGTTTTTTTGTGGTTTTTTTTTTTTTTAATTTAATGTGGGAGAAGTAGAGAGGATGGCCCTCCCACCTAGAGCACACATACAAGGAAAACCTCTCCCTCCAATTTGAACAATGAAAACCATGTAAATACTCAAGACCTGTAATCACCCTGGTCAATGTACTGTCTTCCATTAACCTTCTGCCTTTCCTTAAACAGTAGCCTGGAAACAAAGTTCCTCAACTTCTTAGAAGGCAAGAGACCTGAAGTTAGGGAAGGAGATAGATCACAATCTAGGCATGAAACAACAATGATGTCAAGTATCAGATTTTGGCATGCTGGGGGTCCCCAGAAAGACAATAACCCTCTTTTTTTTCACCTATTTGGGGCAGTTTTCTCCCAGAACATAGAGGGAGGCAGGACCAGCAGAACAATTAACTCTGCCTTTCCTGTCTGTGTTCCCAGGGAGACTCTGGAGGTCCCTTGGTATGCGGAAATGTGGCCCAGGGTGTTTCTACCTCTGGAAGGGAAAATTCAACTTCCCCATGTTTCTTCACCAAAATCTCCAGTTTCTTACCCTGGATAAAGAAAACAATAAAGCATCTCCAACTCAAAGAATCACCCTGAGCCTCTATATGCTTGATCAGCTTCTCTTAACAGCAAGAACCTTAATAAATGTGTCTTAACTGCAAGTAAATGATTGTGTCTTCATTATTCACTTAGCTTTTTAGCAGATGGCAATTCTAGATGAGAGAGCTCTTGAGACCTAGTGGGTAAGGAGTTGCACTGCCAAACCAAATGTAGGCAGTTCGAATGCACCAAATGACGCAAGGAAGAAGCATGATCAGTCACCTACAGTGCAATTTATACCCTCTGAAAACCCAGGGCAGGATTAGGTATGAGTTAGTTCTGGCTTGAAGGCAAAGAGATTTTCTCCTTTTTTCTTTTCCGGTTTCTTGGGCTTTTAATCCTCATTGAGGCAGACCTAGAACATAATCATGTTCTGAATCATGGTCTTTTCCCAACTCTACATCCACAAAAAATACGCAACGAGTCAAGCAGCTCTTTCTTATCTGTCATTCACTAAGGCTTCCCCTCCACAGGGCTAAGGCAGAACACCCTCAGTGGGAGACCTGAGGCTCCAAGGATCTATGCGCAGATGAACTGTTCAGCTCTGCTTCCTATGCTATGTGGCAGAGAGCAAGGGGCGCCCACTGGGTTCAGGAAGACAAGCTGGCCCATCCTGAGGCTCTGGGAAGAAGAAGAATTGAACATTTCTGCCTTATAATCAAGGAAACTGGCAGCATTGAAGGGTGAGGAACTTGAGAACTTTCTTATTCCCCTCTGGGATTCATGTCCTTCCTTAGCTCCATGCCCTGTTCTGAACTTAGGGCCTAGTTCAGCATCTAATCTCCTTGGCTACCCTTTCTTTTTCATGTCTGTTTATTACTGAGACTTCTCAAAGTCCAGCAGATCCTTTCTCTTGTAGACCACGCTGTTATGAGATAGATCCCTTTCCACCTCCCCCTATCCTAGGAATTCCAGTGACCTGTGTGGTTCCAATAGGGCTTACAACAGAGCAGCCAGCATCAGTCACTCTGGCAGAGAAGGACCTTGGAGGAGCTGGCACCAGGCAGGGCCCTGAGAGGACTGGCTAACGCTCCAGAAAGCTGGGCTACAATTCTTACTGGGCAGAACTAACTCAATCTCCTTCCAGTGCCACGTCCAGCCCACTAGCAGTCATAAACTCTGAGACCCTTGGCCACTTTGTGACTCATTAGGCTGAATCCCTTTGAGCTTCTCTTTCTTTGTACCTAGTGGCCTATAAGCTGATTATACCAGATGATAACTCAACTCATTGAAGTAGAGTCAGAACCAACACATGCCTACCATGTGCTATGGCAGTCTTTTGGGCTAGAAAGACTACCTTTGTGCAGTAGGACAATGAAGCACATCTTTTGCCACCAACAAATCAGCAAATACACACTGAACCCTGCTTAATGCTAACATAGAAATTAATAACAGGTTTATCATCTTTCAGTGGGTTTGTCTACTGCCTGTCCCTTTCTTAAATGAGTCCATGTGGCCTAGATCTACATGAGACATCTATGGAACAAAAGTACCTTTTCTTGCTGGCCACTCTTTCTATAACTTGTCATATGTGGTCCAAGAAGTACAGTTTCGATTTGGAAACAATTGTGGTTTCTAGATACAAAATTTCTAAACTGTGTTCACTAAAGCAACTTCATCTAGAAGAGAGGGGAAATATACTACTAATTGTACAGATTCACTATGTAGAAAAAACACACTTAGATGTTGGCCTTGAAAGCATTAACATGTGACCCTTAGCATCCATCCTACTGATGTTGGGAGAAACAATATTGTCATCATGAGAGCAATTGTGATCTAAACGGAACTAACATCAAGACATCATTTTCATTACATGCATCTAATTTTTGGATAAACCCGGCTTTCATTTTTGTTGTTGTTGATTGCATTCAAGTTGAGCAGTACTCATAGCAACCCTATGAACAGAAGGCCTGAAGCTCCTCAACAACAATCGACATTTATCAAAGTTCATGGAGTTTCCATTGTTGTTTTGGAAGTGGATGCCACTCCTGCTTCAGAATTAGCAGGAATATTAGTCTTTATTCGGTTAATCTCAACATATGTATTTATTACATCTTCCACTACAGGAGTTAGCTTTATCCTACACTCAGGCTCTGGCATCCTGTATTATTCACATTCTCTTTACTGACTTAGCCTGTTGCAGACCAAGGGTAAAGTATTTTTATAATTATTAATAATGAGACAGACTACCAGGAATGATATAGAACACAGAGCGTGAAAAACAGGGGGCCAGTAGATCCCATGACTGAAGGCCTCAAGCCATGCCTCTCTGGCTATTTATTGAGAATCATCAAGAAGGTAAACAAAGTAAAATCATAAGGAAGTACAAAACAAAAACAAGGGATAGTGGGGAAATCTTTTGCAGATAAGGCCAAGTTCCCCTTTATGCTTATCTTATTAAGAGTGAGAGATTCAGTTAATACAAACTAGGAACAAGGTTGACATTTAGGGAATGCCTTATTGCTTCAAGGTGACCTTCAGCTTGTATTAAGCCTCCCTCATAACCTGATATATCATTTGGTCTACTACTAAAATATTAAATTTGATATTTGGCTTTCCTCAAACCCTACAGAACTTTATCAGCGGGCGACTAACTGCATTGGACGTCCGCCTCTACAGGGTCACTTGTCAACCATTTCAGCCCAGGTACCAAGGAAGTGGTTGGGGTGAACATTCCTGTCACCACACATGAACTTACACTCTTTTTATTGTTGTTGTTGTTGTTATTTGCCTTCGAGTCACTTGTGACTCATAGTGAACCTATGTACAACAGCCCTAAACTCTACTCTGTCCTGTGCCAATGCACCCTCTCCGATACACCCATCCCAATTATCCCAGTCACTGAATCAATCCACCTCATAGAGGGCCTTCCTCTCCTGTGCTGTCCCTCCACCCTACCAAACATGATGTCCCTTTCCAAGGACCAGTCCCTCCTTACAACATGTTCAAAGTATGTTACATGGAGCCTCAGAATCCTTGCCTCCAAGAAGCAGCCCAGTTTGACCCTTTTCAGGATGAATCTGTTTCCCTAGAAGTCCATGATACCCTCAGTACTCTTCTCCAGCACCACAGCTCAAAGGCCTCAATTCTCCTTCTATCCTTCCTAGTCATTGTCCAACTCTCTGATGCATAACAAGCGATTGCAAAGACCATGGCCTGTATCAGACACACCTTAGTCTCCAGAGAGACACCATTGCTCTTCAGTACTTTGGAGCGGTCCCTAACAGCAGACTTTCCCATCACAATACATCTTTTAATGTTCTGGCTATTGATGCCAACAGTGTTGACTGGAACCAAGCAAACTAAAGTTGTGAACAATCTCAATCTCTTCACCATCCATCCTGATGCTGCCAATTCGTTCAGTGGTGAGAATCTTTGTCTTCTTGACATTGAGCCTGAATCCATACTGAAGAATTCATTCCTCGACCCTCTGCAGCAAATGTTTCAGGTCCTACTCAGTTTCAGCAAGCAGGGTTGTGTCATCTATATAACAAAGATTGTTGATGAATCTTCCACCAATCCTGACCCCACATTTCTCCTCATAGACCCCAGCCTCCCGGATAATCTGTTCTGCAAACGGGTTGGGCAAAAGAGAATTCCACACACCTACAAGTCTTCTGAGAAACCAAAGGCACAGCAAGTACTGGTCCAAAGAGCCTCCTGTCTCCAGCATTTCCCCTCAGCAACAACCCTGCCCTGCCCCAGCTGTTATCAGGGCTCCAGGGTTGCAGTTCTCTACTTTCTGTGCAGCTCTATGAATGTCATCTTGGGGGCCAATGACATTAAGTTGCAGGAAAAGACGCAGCAGAAAATTCCTGAGAAAGAAGTCATCCATTACCCAATGGCATTGTGTTACCACAGGTGAGGCAACTCCCTGCAGCTCCTGCTCCCTTGGGTTGAAGAACTTTCTCCTTCCATCATGTCCCCTGTCTTTCTCATCCTAGCTGCTTCACTAATCCTAGGCCCTGGGGAGAGAAGGGATAAAGTGCAGCTTATCAGGCTCTGCAGGGCAGCAGGCTCTCAGTGACCAGGACTTCATTGTTTCCTTAGTCAGTTGAACACAAAGGCCCAACTGACTACAGTTGTGTTCTTGCTCCCCCTGCCTGGAGAAAGTGAACATGTGAGACCTGGGCAGGAGTGCAGTGTGGCTGGCTGAGGCCAGACCTCTATGGATGGAAAAAAACAAGCAAGCTGCACGAGGGGAATCTTATCATGCAAGAGGAATTCCAGCATTAATGCCTCTTTGAAACTTGCAACAGTGCATCACAGTTGTGTACATGAGACCCAAAGAAAAAGATAGCTTTCTTAAAGGTGAGATATACTATTAGCCTGGTCTAACTCTGGGGTGAAGGATGATTTAGGAGGATCTAGATCTGAAGATCTTTGCTAGCAACAGGGAAATGCTTTCATCAGCTTTGCTGAGTAACAAAGAGAAATATCAAGTTAGACTCAGGTAGGCCTCTATGAGCTCACTATAGGTCAATCAGAAAAGTGCTCCCCTCCCCCCAGAAGGTTGGCTGAATCCTTGGCCCACCCCAAAGGTTCTTGGGGCACAATTTCCAGAGAGCTACTCATTTAAAGGTTTATGGTCTGATCATATCCAAAGGTATTTTGTAATCTTTTTAGAAAGAAAGCCCAATGAGCAGTTCAAGTCTAAAAAGTCTAAGGATACTATGAACTGAGGACTGATTTGGACACTTTTTAGGGGTGAGGTGATAGAAGTAGTAAGGTTTAAGTCACCCTGGGGCACACAAAACAGGAAAAAACTGTTCCTCTGTGTGCAAAAAACAAAGCGAAAAAAACTTATAACAACTCAACAGCTGTAATCATTTGGCTAATGAACTGAATTCAATTAAGACTGTCTGTTTCCTTAAATGGTATCTTAGAACAAAAGATTCCACAACTGCTTAAAAAAAGAAGGTCTTAAACTAGGAGAAGAAGTGGTCACAATCTAAACATGAAACAAAAATAATGTGAACATCAGAATCAACAATATCAAGGGTCAGAATTTGACAGCTGGGGTTTCCTCAGGTGACTGCAAATTCTCTTCCAGAATGTGGAGGGACAGAGGACCAGCAGAGGAATTATCTCAGCCTTTCCTCTTTCTCTTCATAGGGAGACCCTGGAGGTCCCCTGATATGCCAAAACATGGCCGAAGGCATTGCAAGCTATGGAGAAAACAAAACCGCCCCAATGGTCTTCACCCAAATCTCCACTGTCTTATCCAGAATAAAGAAAACAATAAAGCAGCTCCACATAAAAGAGTAACTTCGAGTCTCTCTATTCTTGATCATCATCTTTTATGACATAGAACCTTAATAAATGTGTCTTAACTGGGAGAAAATAGTAGTGTCTTGATTATTCACTGGTCTTTTTAGCAGGCAGCATTTCTAGATAAGGGAACTCAGGAGGCCTCTGGTTAAGGAACTGCACCACCAAACCAAAGGCTTGAATCTACTGGCTTCTCTGGAAGAGAAAGATGGACAATCACCTGTGCAATTTATACTCTTTGAAAACATGCTAGAGGATTGCTTATCAGAGTACTGTATGGTTATGAGATGGTGTCCTATTTCCCCCTTTATTTTGTATTTAATCCTATGAGACAGAGCTAAAACATGATCGTAATCTGCATACCTTTCCCCCTTATCTCCCCATCTACATCCACAATCTATATGCAACAAATCACCCACCTCCTTCTTAATCTCCATATCTGTAGGGCTTGCTTTTCTGCAGGGCTAAGGTAGAACAACCTCTAGTAGGAGATACAAACTTCTCAGGTTCTGTGCTCAGATGAACTTTTAGCCTCAGCTCTCTGTGATACATGACAGAGAGAAAGGCAGCCCTCACTGGGTTCAAGAGCACATGCGGGTCCATCCAAAGTCTGTGGAAAGAAAAAGAACAAAGCAGTTCTCTCTTTTAATCATGAAACTGGCAATTCTGAAGGGTCAGGCTCTTGAAAAGCTCATTTTCACCTGGATTTCATATTCTTATTTCCCTCTATGCCCTGCTCTGAGCTCAGGACCTACCCTTTCTCTTCCTTATCTCTTTACCATTGAGTATCCTCAAAGTCCAAGCAATTCCTTTTTATTCCAGATCAAGATTCTCACCACTGGGCCAATTGGTAGCATCATAATAGATGGTGAAGAAATTGAGATTGTTGGCAGCTTCAGTTTGCTTGGCTCCAAAATCAACACTCCTGGTAGCAGTAGCCAGGAATTTAAAAGATGAATTACACTGGGGAAGTCTGCTGTCCAAGACCTCTCCAAAGTATTGAAGAGCAATGATGTCATTCTGGATATTAAGGTGTGCATGATCAGGCCATAGTCTTTACAATTACTTACTATGCATCAGAAATTGGACAATGACTAAGGATGATAGAAGGAGAATTTATGCCTCTGAGCTGTGGTGCTGGACAAGAATATTGAATATGCCATGGACTGGTAAGAGATCAAACAGGTTCTTCCTGGACAGGGTGAGACCAGGCTGCTCCTTGGAGGCAAGGATTCTGAACCTTTGCCTGATATACTTTCGACATGTTTCAAGGAGGGACTATTTCTTGGAGTGTCACAACCTGTTGGTAGTGTGTTTTGTTTCTTTATATAGAGTGATCAAAATAATTAATTTGCCAAATGGCACAGAGATATTAAACTTTAGTTCAGTGGACAGTGACCTGAGAATATAATATAGACCAATGCACAGGTGGTTTGCATGCTGCTGCAATGCTTAACAGATTTCAGCAGATGTCCCATTAAGACAGACTAGGAAGAAAAGCAGGGCAATCTCTTCCCAAAACTCAACCAGTGAAAAAAACTAGAGCTGTCCAGTCTAATCAGCAACTTATATTGGAGATGACAACTAACCTGTAAACAGCAATGAATTAAAGAGCCAATCCACAACAACTAACAGTGCAATAATTTGTCTTGGTTGTAAGGAATTGTGCTACCAAGACAAAATTTGTCAATGTTTTATTGTATTATCATCTCGACTATAACTCATAGTGACCCTGTAAATAATGGCTCTGCACCTTACCTACCCTGAGCCAATCTCCAGGTCACAACACATTTGACCTCATTGCAACAGTCACCATGTCAATCCATCTCAGCCAGGGTCTTCTTCTCTGGTGCTGACCCTCCAATTTTCTAAGCCTTATGTCCTTCTCCAAGGACTGGTCCCTCAAGCAACATAGCAACAGTACATGAGATGAAGCTTCAAAATTCTTGTCTCCAGTGACCAAACTGCTTTCACTCTCTCCACAGCAGACTTAATTTTTTTTCTTGGCAGTCCATGGTATATTAAATACAATTGCCCAGATCAGGCACACCTTAGTCTCCAGCCTGACGTCGCTGCTTTTCAGTACCCTAGAGAGGTCTCTGACAGCTGACTTACACAATGCAATTCATCTTTTGATTTCCTGGCTGCTGGTACCAAGGGTTTTGATTGTGGAGCCAAGCAAACTAAAACTGCTAACTATCTCAATCTCTTCACCATCCATACTGATGCTGCCAATTGGCCCAGTGGTGAGAATCTTTGTTTTCTTGATGTTGAGCTTCAATCTGTATTGAAGGCTGCTATGCATGATCTTCTTCATCAAGTGCTTCATATCCTCCTCAGTTACAGCAGCAGGGTTGTGTAATCTGCATAATGCTCATGGTTGATGAATCAGTCTTCTACCAATCCTGATGCCACATTCCTCTTACACAGCCAAGCATCCCATATGCTCTGTTCTGCATACAAATTGAAAAGGTATGGAAACAGAATACATCCCTAGCAGACCCCCTCACGGTTTTGAACTGTGCAGTGTCTCCTTGCTCTGTTCTGATGACTGCCGCTTGGTCCAAGTATTCATTTCACATAAACCCAATCAAATGTTCTGGGATTCCCATTCTTCTCAGAGTCAGCCACAGCTGTTGTGGTCCAGTCAGCCAAAAGCCTTTGTATAGTCAATGGAGCACAGATAGAAATTTCTCTGGTACTCTCTGTTTTCTGCCAAAATTCATCTAACATTAACTATAATATCCTTAGTACCACGCCCTCTTCTAAAACCCAGCCTGTACATTTGCCAGTTTTTTGTTGGCATGTTGCTCTAGTCATTTTGGATAATTTTCAACAGAATCTTGCTTGCATGTGACATTAATGATATTGTTCTGTAATTTTCACACTCTGTCAGATCACCGTTTTTTGGAATGAATCAAATATTGATCTCTTCCAGTCAGTTGGCCAGCTGGGTGTCGTCCTGATTTCTTGGCACAACTTAGTGAGCACATTCAGGGGAATGTCGGTTTTTTGAAATATGTCATTTGGTATTCTGTCAATTTCTGGAGCCTTGTTTTGCCAATTCTTTCAGAGCCACTTGAACTTCCTCCTCCGTCACCACAGGCTCTTGCTCAAACGTTATTTCAAGAAATTCTTCTGTATCAGCCAATTCCTTCGGTATAGTGACTCTGTATACTCCTTCCATCTTCTTTTAATGCTTCTTTCATCATTTAACACTCTACCCAAAGCAGCCTTAAGTATTGCCACTTTTGCCTTGAATTTGTTTTTCAACTCCTTCAGCTTAAGAAAGCTGAGCAAGTCAGAGTCAGAATCAAAACCAACAGCACCTACCCTGCCAGGGGGTGGAGCTACTAGAGTGCAGAGCAGGGAAAGCACACAGGAGCAGTTCTCAAACTGCAAACCGAGTTTGGAGAGGTGCACTCTCATTCTCCTGTGCTTCCTATTGTCTTTGTCCAGCAAGAACTGCTAAAGAAAGAACCTATATAATACAATATATAGCAGATAGATAGATGAT